TCCTCCAATCTTCGCCTGACAATTGAAATTCCTGAATTTGAAAATAGTCCTGGTGTCCTTTGTTTCGGAGTTCTATCACAATTTGTCATTTCCATATCCATTAATTAATACGACGTTTCATCCATTTTTTTTTTTTACATTTCACTGATACGATGTTATGTATATGCTTATCCTGCACTTACAAAAGGGACACTTTAAGAACTTACTGATTTCTCCTTTTCCCGTGACAAGTGAAAAACGGTTCTCACTCACTTTAAACATACAACAACAGTTTGGACACTCCTTTTTATCGTGAATTGTAATCCTTCCAACATACACTAAATTTCCATTGTCATCATAGTCATACACGTTTGCGAATCTGTATACATCCATAACTATGAAAAATATATGATACACAAATCACACGTAATAATCCAGTTATGTGAATGAAATAAATCCATCACTGACACTTTCCCAAATATCCCAATGAACACAAGCAGTGGTTCGGTATATTTCCATGAAAAATAAAAGAATCCAGATTAAAGTCATTATCAGTCTGACTATATCAAGAAACTTACGTGTTCATCTTATACACTTGCGTTATTTAAAGAAGGTTGAATTTTAGCTCTACTCAGTACTAGTCAGGAGTGTGTGCGATAATAAAGTATACGTCTTTATTTTCCTTAGTTATAAATTGAAGACCGCAGCCAGGTCAACTGAGCTAGTTTTTTGATGGATTAAAGGAAAATAACAGTATTGAAAGTGAAAAAGGTCATTTATTTCAAAAAATTACACAAAACATAAATACACATATAAAGGGAGTCAGACAAGACTGGAAAACAACTTCGAAAAAACACAAAAATCTTAGTGATCATATAATGCAATTTGACCCCTAAAATAAAAAAATAGGAGAAAGCAGGCACTGATATAACTCTCAACAAAAAGAAAATAATGATTGGGAGGGGTATCGGAGATGTTCCCCGTCATGGCATAGGAATGTCAAATCTCTCCAGAAGCCTCTATGAGGCTAGAAATGTACACTGTCCATGGTTAAACACTTCTGTGAGAATGAAGTTGATGGCGATGATGTGATCGTTGAAGTCCGATGACGAAGCCCAAGACTGGCGGCGCAGAAGCTGTCCCACAATAACTGTTCGTATGCCAATTCTAGAATGCAGATAAGACGCTAATGATAAAATGTCAGACACAATCACTATGCAGAAGAATGTCATTCTCTCCCATCTGCATGAAACATATGTGCGGTAACACATCAAAAATTAAGTCTCTGAAACGAGCGATGATCGAGATCAGTAGACCACCACATGTCCGAACTGAAACACTATAAAGTCCCTGATGTAGCTTTAAATTCACTAAATCTTGATGTGAGTCAACATACCGCCGTAAACGAGTCACAAAAGAATGTTCAAGAAAACAGATCCTGGTAAATTCTGCTTCTGCCGTGCATGTTGTGACACAGTTCTCCCCAAACCGGATCTGGCACTCTTACATTAACAAAACAAATTCATTAAATGAAAACGTATTGAATCTGCTATCCTGTTATGAAATGTATGGTAATTCACACAGAAAACTAAACACAGCAAGGGTCAGAAACAGTAACTTTACATTAGTTACTTGGAACAAACTTCGACAAAATTTTCCTTTGCACTTTAGCGTGACTTTCTGGTAAATAAAAAACAATGATCACGTGATTGGGAGAAGCCACGCTGACTAGCTGTAAATTGAAACAATTGTGCCATAGATTAAGAATTGAAAATTTTTGTAATTTTGGCAACCTAAAATTACCAAACAAAAACATAACACATCAAAGTTAAATTATAACAAATAAAAGAATAACAGTTTCTTGTCACTAAAAGAATATTTTGTAAATGATAGATACCTTATTTCTGTAAACAATTTCTAAATGCTACTCCTCCTAGAGTTTAAGACCAATTCCAGTATAACATGACACACATTTGACTACACTAGGATATATCATTCTGTATTTCGGATTTTGATACTTAGAAGGGTGTTGCCGTGGTAATCTCCATATCAGGTATTTACTACGGCAGTTACAGTAGACACTGCGTACTTTACGTTCAGGGTTGAGTACTGACAGTTCTTTAGGGTATTAATGACAAACTAGGTATTCCCTACCAATCACAGCAGACTGTGTGTACTTTCCGTTAATGTTTTAATAGTGACAGTTCTATAGGATATTGATGCTTTCATCCGATTTCTTACCAGGTATTTACTACCACTCACACCAGACTGTGCGTACTGTCCATTAAGGTTTGAGTAGTGACAGTTCTATTGGATATTGATGCTTTCTTTCAATTCCTTTCTACCAATCACAGCAGATTTGGCATACTCCCCGTTAAGATTTGAATACTGACAGATCTGTCGGGTATTGATGATTTACTCTGATTCCATAACAGGTATTTTCTATTGTGTACCAAACACAGCAGATTTTGCGTATTTTCCGTTGAAGTTGAAGTAATGAAAAAAAAAACCTCTTCAACAAAATGGCCATTGTTTTCTATAATAGATTCAATACTTGCATGGAATTGTTATCCCTCTCAGAATCAGACGATATAGTAATCTAGCGTTGAGCCTTCTGGTAGGCATACTCGGTTCAACTTTAAATGGTGAGAATTCTCTGGGGATGACAAACTTTCATTAATTATTTCATCAACATCTTCTAACTTCTCTAACCTTTTTTAACCTTTCTCTGTTGATGATTTTTCTTCCAAGCAAATGGGGGTCTTTTCTTCTCTGTTTTCCTCTGAAAAGTCTGATGATATCGTGGGATACGTAAACCCCATCCATTCTGGACTAATTTCCACGCTTCCAGGATTGTACTCGTCAACTTCCTCATTCATACACTCGTCTTCTATGCCTTTGTAAGCTGAAATTCAAATTCATACTCCTATCTTGATTTCAAGGGGAAAAAAAGAATTCTCTTTTTTCATGAATTTTTTAAAAAAATTTTAAATCATCTTACCTCTCACTGCTTCTGCATTCGAGTTTTTCAAGATTTTTCTTTGACATTGTGGTAGTAAAACGTAAATGATCTGTAAAAATTTGATCTTTTTTTTTGAGGGAGGTATATTTCGGGGTTCTTTTATCCATCAAGTTTTGGACCACATATTATATAGTATCCCAGCGGAAAAACATTAAATTAGTTTATCAGTGAAAGTATCTATTAATGACAACAAAATCATTAAAAGCAAATATTGTGTCATTTGATGACAACTTTTAAGCAAAAACTGAGTAAGCATTTGTCTGAGATACTAGTAACAGTTTTGTATTAATTAAAAATGTCAACATTTGACGGGTTTTCTGTGCAGATAGTTGTGCAGGTCGCTAATAAATCAGAACAAAATTTGATATTTCATTTTTACTCTGCATCTGTTATCAATCAGAATGAAATCAAAAACACAAGCCGCCCCTTTTGTTGACATTTCAAGTAATTGCAACACATATCCAGATTCATTTATGCCTTGCTTTCAGCATAACAATTCACAAGACCCAAGGCCTCACCCTTGACAGAATAGAAGTGGATGTGGACAACATCTTCAGCCCTGGTCAGTTAGGGCTGGCAATAGGAAGAACAACTAAAAACAATGCAAGTCATTCACCCTCACCCTTACACATTGAGCGAGAGAATAATTGCATTTCGTAACACATTTTTTTTTTACCTTTTTCATACTATTATTTTAGATTTATTAAATTATTTTCAGAAAAACCAGCGCAGAACCGACAAAAATTCTTCAAACATATCAAGATATATTCCTTCAAGGAAGACCTTTGGATGTCGTATCCGAAGAGGATGTAGTTGAGGGGGGCACGGCTGGCATTTTTGTTAGTCGTGTGAACATCTTAAAAGACACCGTTGATGAAATTGCTACGCTGCCAAACATTCGATTACCCATAGAGGTCGTCTTCTATGGGGAACAGGTCGTAGACCTGGGTGGTCCGAGAAAAGAGTTCTTTTCTCTATTTCTACAAGAGACGAAGTCAAAGCTAATAACAGTTGAAAACGGGTCGCCAAAGCTTAGGGTGGTTGAAGAATTCATGGCCAAAAGCTACTATTTTTATGCAGCTGTTGCTCGCTTTAAGTATTCCCAAACTTACAGATATTAATAAGATCAATTATTGTTGACTAGTTGTTGTAAATACTTTTTTTCGAGTTTATATAAAATTCACTTGTTTGCAAACTGTGTCGGGAAACAACAGAATTGTTGGTTAAACAACTCAGTCTGCAGCTAAAGTGTTATATCTTTATATTTGATTGTTGGTTTGATTATAAGTGATTCTTTTGATATAGTTCGTTTTTATAAAGTTTGTTCATTAATCATTATCCAGATAGGACCGAGGAAGAAGTATATACATATATAGTGAATTTCAGTCATTTTCTTGTTTAAGTGCCATTGTAATTGAGGTTTTTTTAATTCGATATAAACGTGATTCTTAGGAAGGAATCCTAAACGGACCCAATGAAATGCATTTCTTGTTCCTCATCCCTGCTTATGATTATTAAGTAACAAAACTTAGTAACAGCTATGTGTATAGTTATGATGAACAATGGTGCCTCTTTCAAAATTGTGAATGCTTAAAACATGAATCAAATTCGATCACTGGAAAGTTGTGGCATGATGCTCAGGTGACCTATTTAGGCCCATTGGCCTCTTGTTAGTTTAAGATTGAGTGCATTTCAATGAAAATAGCAGTAGACAGCAGGCAATGACAGGCTGGTGAGCTGCAATATGCAGCGTCTTATCCAAAGGCAAAGAAAGGATTGGAGGCAGTTGTAAAACATAAAAACAATTCCTCCAATATTTAGTGAGGTAAAACATAAAAACAATAGGGACTGTAAGCTCGTAAACGAGAGCGCGCGAGATTTGAATACTTCCGGTGACAAACAAAATGGTGATATGCTTTGCGTTCGGATGTAGTCACCGAAGTGGTGCGAATAATTGTAGTTTTTATCGGTTTCCCACAGACGCAAAGAAAAAGACATTATGGGGGAGATTGTGCAGGTCAGTTTTATGCATTTCTAAAATCCAATAAGCCTGTATTAAACGAAATATCCGTCTGCAGCGCATGACTTACAGTTTGCATGCGCCGCGATTACCAAGCTCTATTCCTAGAGTTGAATAGTGACACTTAATGATAAGTTTATGATTTTTATCCTTTCACATTAAAGTATATACCTGTATCTGCATTGTACAAATGTTTGCAGAGAACTATCATATAGGTTGTACATTAATCCGAGATTCCTCTGACTGACGTGATTACGATTAACAGTTTTAATACTGAAGCAAATCACAGAGACACTGATGTGTACATGTAAATTATGTCAATAAGCACCGATATATAGAATAACATAAATTGAAATAAGATAAGATTTATTAAAAAAAATCAGGGTCCTGTGGGCATTAACATGTGCATGTAACATATATAATTAATCCACTTCTGTTCAATGCAGAGTATACAACAAGCATATTAACAACATGCATGTTTTGATTTTTATACATATATATTTCTACTCTTAAACTATACATTTACACAAACAATCCTTTGATTTATTTAGAAGAGCTGATCGACAGCCAGAGAATCAAAACGACAGAGTATGTTCTTGCCATTTTAAGGAGGGAAGAAAGGAAGGAGACCCTGTCTTCTTTCCTTGGAATGATAAAAAGTATATGGACTATCAGGATCCAGAAAAGTCAGAAAGGTGAGAGAGAATTTATATGTAGATGTAATAAATTTTATCCCAGTCACAAATTATAAATATTTTTTTAATTTCATATAGTTTAAACTACAGCATGAACCTTTTTGAACAAAAACATGTTAAATATAATGCATTTATTGAATATTTATTATTTACAGGAAAAGGAGGAAAACATGTTTGTCATCGCCCTATGAAGTCGATAACTTCAGTCAGTCCTTATCCTGTGAGAGAGAGCAGACAGAAGATGCAGTAGATTTTGATGATGTAGAACATGTAATATTATATCAATAACTTTTTAGATGTGTTTTTAAAAACTGAAATACACATGTATATAGTTGAAATACTTGACTGTAAAAAAAAATCAGATTATAAATGTACATGTATATATTTTAAGGTTGAAGTAGAACACAGTTATACAGTCTCTTGCTCTCGAAACTGTTCCAAAGAAATACAGCGGATCTCATCAGAGATAAAAAAGTTGGAAGAAGAGTTACATGCAATAAAAGTCAACATGGATAAAAGAAAACCCATGACTGTAGCTGAAATTAAGGACAACGAAGAAAAGGTAACATTGTTGATGAGGTAAAACAAGGTACCGGGTATTTAAAAAAAAAAATTGTTGAGTGCTTTTATTTAGAAATTTATGACAATTCTTTTCTTTACAGATGCTGCTTTATACTTCAATACAATATGATGTCTTTGAAGTGCTTGTAAAACTACTTGGTCGATTCAGTTTAAATTACTTTCTTGGTTGGACACCATCCCTTAAACTTGAAGATCAACTTTTGATTGTTTTCATGAAGCTTAAACTAAACCTTAGAGACATTGACTTAGCTCACAGGTATATACTGGTAGTTAATCTTTTCTCTGAATAAATTAAATTCATAATTTTCTGATCGTGCTATTCATGACATTTTTTTTTTCAAAGATTTTTTTTGAATTGGGGACATATTTTGATAACATGATATATTTTGATTTGCATTATTCAACAGGTTTTGTGTAAGCAGGCCAACAATTTCTAATATTTTCCACTCACTGGTTCATGCCCTTCATGAAATGCTGTACAAGGGGGTTGTTGATACATGTTTTCCTAGTCAACTAAAATGTAAAGGTTTGTATGTTGTGTTATAGTATGCAAATGATTGATGTATTTGTAAAATTTTTCATTTCCATATCCTCCATCTTAAACTACTTGTGTACACATTATTTTACATAAAAAATAAAATGGTTCGATGACTTAATCTGAATGTTGTGGCTTAAATATAAGATTAGAGCTATATTTTATAATACATGTACAACTGAGATGAAGAGAATAATACATGCGTTTGTCAGTTGCCCTGTAAATTATCATGATTATACATGTAGCATGAAATTTATGTTCCTCCCATTTTTCATTTAGGCTCCATGCCAAAGGCATTTGCAGAATTCTCTTCTGCAAGGGCATCTATGGATGCCATTGAGACAACACAGGATATACCAGGACATCTTGATACACAGGCTAGGGCATACAGTTCGTATAAGAGCCGTCACACCGTCAAGGCAGTGACTTGTGTAGCACCAAATGGTGCAATCACTTACTGTTCTCCTTTATATCCGGGATCAACATCTGATGTTGCAATTGTGCGTCACAGCAAAATTCTTGAGAAGTTTAAGCCCGGGGACCTGATTTTAGCCGATTAGGGATTTACAATCCACGATCAGTTACCACAAGGTGTGTGCTTGAATATTCCTGCATTTTTAAGTTCAAGAGGGCAGTTTACGAAGAAAGAAGCAGAACTATGTTATAAAATAGCCAGAGCAAGAATTCACGTGGAGAGAGCTAATGAGAGAATTAAAAACTTTGAAATACTTCGCCACATACCAGCAACCTACAGGCCATTATCAACAAAGATATTTCAACTGTGTTCTGCATTAGTCAATTTGCAAGCTCCTCTTTTGAAAGAAATTTCATAGTACATTATATATTTATAATGTAATGATAGTTTTGATACTTCAGTATTGTTCATGGAATGTATTAGGATGTAGAATGATGTACACAGTCATAGTCTAGCATATTGATTTTTGCAAATCTTACACTGAGATCTCTAACATACTGTCTTAAAAATCTGTATATTTAGCATGTACAACATTTGGCAGACAATTTTTCAACATGTTTGTTGTAGATCTGATTCAGTGCATTTCTGTATTCATAGATATCTATCTGCAGTTCTGCACAGCACATAGCTATGTACTTGATTTAGTAGTGGCTACATAATGCCAAAAGACTTAAATTGAAGACATACTAGAAGTAATACATTTACAGTATTTACTTGTGCATATAATAAATAATTTAAAACAATCTACACAGTGAGTAAAATTTTATTTATACATTGGGAAAATTATATTGTATAATATAGCCCAATTTAAACACAGGTTACTTAGCATTTACCCTCAGGAAAATTTTTGAAGACAAGCACTGTTGAACAGAAATCATTGTTTACATGTGTAGGGTAAATACATGTTAATAAAGAGTTCAATTTATCATACTCTATTAAAACTTTATGAATGTTAGAATTGATTACAAATCAAATAATGCATTGCATATTCTCAATTTCATTCATTAATTTTAAATCCTGGGACGGATTACTCAATTTTTATAAAAATATAACTTATTCAGAACACTTTAGTTTGAAGTGTCAATAGGGTTCATCACTTCTGATTGTTTTTGATTATTACAGATATTATTTCAACACATTAATTTTGGATTAATTCAGGAATGAATGTATTAAAATAAAATTCTATCAATTGTGCAATGTTTTTTGTCCATCCAGAGTCCTTGATAATCCGGATAACTTTGCAATCCTTGGTAGTCCAAACAATCAAGTCACAGCAGGTCTTGTTGCATAAATGTAGTTGGCCTTGTATCTGGTGATAATAAGGATGGTTGGACTTGAGGTAGTAAGAGTCTTCTCTGTACTCTAAATGCAACAACACAACTTGAATATAACATTTACTCAAAGTTGAATTAGTAATAACTGGAAAAACGAATAGACAAAATCATATACAGTCCAATCTTGTTATCTGGAACTTAAAGGGGCCAGAAAACAATAGAGATATCCAATAAATCACAAAATTAAACGTTAAATGCTTTAATAAGAAATTAGGACTTGCAACTCAGTTCGACATACGTTCCCTTCGGTATCAAAGACAATAGTTGAGATACCAAGTTTGACTTCATATTGAAAAGACAATGAGAAACAGATGTTTCACACAGTTTAATATACCCCAATTTATACCAAGTACTTACCAAGGTAAAAGTCTTTAAGACTGTGCACTGCCTCATATATTGTTAAATGTGCTGCAGAGTAAGGACACTTTACTTCAACTACTTCAGGTAAAGCATTCTGAGCTTCTGGTGTCTGGAAATTAACATCACATCTTGGTGGGTGCAGGACAAGACCATCTGGAGATGCGCCTAAAACTCCAGACTCGTGCAGCCAAATTCCTTTATCAAAATAAAATGCAAATTTATAGAAAAAAATAATATTGCAGTGTTTGTACTAAGTAAATAGATAGTTATCTAAGAATCTTTAATTCTCGATGACATTTTTGGTAAAAATAATTATTGAAGATGGTGCCATGGTCAATGACAAATACTGCTGATTAATTTGGATGAAATACTTAAATAAAAAATTTTTACCAGTTTGTTGCACAGAGGCACCAAAGTCATGTTCATATTTTTTCAATGCGTCTTCTTCATGTGTTATTCCCCAAGCAACTGCTTTGATTGATTCCAAATTGTATGAGGACATCAGACGTTTCTTAAGAGAAATTGTAATTCTGCAAAGATAAATGCTGGCATTTTAGCTTAGGTTGTTGTAAGTATCACATCATTATTAAATATAACAAATAAATGATAACTAATGCTAACTACAAGCATCATGCTCTATTTGGAGTTTTTAATTTTGTCCACATAAACTAACCGTCTTCTATTTGTACTAAGCACTGCTCCAAAATTGGATGCTGTTATCCTGTTCTTTCTGATGATTGACCACATAGGATTGTTTCTTTGACCCTTGGTTGCCAATGCTGTATTAGCTATGATATCCTCAGACAAAATCAAAGCTCGTCTTAACCATACCATTGGTGTATCAGAATGGATAAATTCTGGACTCGTCAATAGATCTTCTATGACAGGGGCAGGAGGTCCTGGCTCACGTGGTTCTGGCTGAAGAATCCATTCCATAGCTAAAATACATGTACATGCATAAACATCCTTTTTAAAAAAATATTTGCATCTACAGTTACACATTTATAAAAAGTTTTTTTTTAATTAAAAAAAAAATCACAATAGTACAATCTATTTCTGTTTGTTTCAATATTACAGCATTTTTTGTGTTTAATAAATTCTGTAAAAAAAAAAACTGTCAAGACATAATAATTGTCCACATCACATGTATAAACAACAAAAACTTAATATGAACTAAATATTTGACAATTTTTAAAAATTCAAATGCAAGTAATTTCCTAAAGGAAAATGAAATGAAAGATGAACTGAAAAAAAAATTAATAAATCAGAATACAAATTAATAAAACATATTTCGCAAATTGGCAACATCCGGTTAAAATACCAATAAATCTGCCTAGTTTTGATAATTCTTGTTGAAAGAAACTTCTGTCGCTATCATCAAATGGTCTGTCTAGTGCACTTTAAATTCAAGAAAAATTGGTTCTTCTTTAAACACAAGTGATTAAATTATTTTTTTCTTCAACGTTTTGAACATTTTATTTCATACTTACTGATAATCAGGTTGAGATGGTGGAAATAATTCTTCCATTGTTTTAGTGTCAGTTTTCATTGCCGTCTTTGGATTTTTCAGCCATCCGCATTTCACGTCAGTTTTGCTGACGCACTTGTACCTTTTAAATTGAATAACTCACAATTGATAGTATGTCAGATTTGTGTTTCTAACATTTTTTCATGTTAATGCATTAATCATTATGTAGCAAACACAGTGTCAGTCCATTCAAAACTTGATGCATTTTAATTTCATGCTATGTTTACCATCTTCTTTCAAGTCATAATTGATGAAACCTCTTTTAATCTTCTAAACTCAGTGAGTCAATCTTAAATAATGCTGTGTACATAAAGCTTACCCATACAACAATGCTGCTGCAACATGATGGCAGACATATTGTCCTAAAGGACACTCACACGTTGATGAAGAAACAGCATAGCCATCGTTCAGAAATGCCTATCAAAATAAAATACGGGTTATAGAACAGAACATGTGGTTATAACATTAACAGTTAACACCCCCCCCCCCATCCCCCTCAAACACACACACAAAATTTCCTGAATTATAGCTACATACAGTCATTGATACCTAAAATTACTTGAATCAAAAGAATGGGGTTTCATTCAAAAAATATTTTAAATATTCTAGAAAGCGACAAATACGAATGAAGCTACTACAAATAAAAAAAAATCACAAAAGGACAATCTCCTTACCGTTACTTTGTAGGACTTGTTCTTCATTGACGCTTGCACAACAGCATTGACAACGTTTTCCTCGTTGTCGTAGAGGAACTTCAACACATGGTTACTATACACAGCGTTCTCCGATTTTCTCATAAGCTTCGGTTTGTCTGTGGTATAGTTCGCCCAGTACTGTATTGATATCGCCATTTTTTTGTTTGTCACCGGAAGCGCTTCACCAGAAGTAACAAAAAACGAGACTTACAGCCCCTATTCCTCCAATATTTAGTGAGTAAACAAGAGGCCCATGGACCTTATAGGTCACCTGAGTATCATGAAACAACTTTCAAAATATTGAATTTGGATCGTATTTTAAACCAGATGCCATGAAATTGTTAATTTAGAAAGAGGCACCATTGCTTATCATAATTATACACTTAGAATGCTTACATGTACTCTAGTTACTTAATACACAGAGTTAGACCAGAGTAAGAAAGAGAAAATGCATTTTAACCTTATAACCAGTCATGCACCCCACCCCACAGGAGCCACTGACACTGGGGCCACATATTTCTAAATTTTGGAAATTTTATCATGAATTTTATATCATCATAAATGGTTGATTAATACCACAGTCGTGAGAGCAGATTACAAAGCATTTATTTAACTTTAGACTATGTACTGTTTCCCCCCCCCCTCCCGATACCCCTGACCCAGAGAACATGAAATTAATCATTTTGCTAGATGCACCTTTCTTGGTCATAAATATATGTACCAAGATCATTGGCATAATACCTAGGAGCAGTGGTAAAGATTTTTTAAGAATTCACGCATTTCACTAGATGTAATCATTAGAGCCCCACATTAAAACCAGAACCTCTCACCTAGGGGCCATGAAATTCACAGTTTGGGAAGAGGCATCCTTCCTCATCATAACTTTGTACATGAACATAGTTCATTGGTTGAACACCCAGGAGCAAAGAAGAAGAGTTTTGAAGAAACAATGTATTTTCACTGTATAATTAATAAAGTCTCGCCCTAACATCAAAACCCCCAACCCAGGGGCCACGAAATTCACAATTTTGGAAGAAACACCCTTGCAGGGAAGAAGATTTTCAAAAAAATAATGCACTTTTACTATATGATCTAAATAACCCGCCCTAACACCAGAACCCCTGACCCAGGGGCTATGAAATTCACAATTTTTGAAGAGGCACCCTTG